CCAAATTTGAATCTAAAAGTATTTGAGACAAATACAATTATACGGGACAATAATTTTTAATTTATTGACTCTTTAATTTTAAATTGTTTTTAAAAAAATTCGAAATAACCATTTATACTCATAAAATCCCAAAAATATGTACTTAAAATTAAAAAGTATAAAATAAGCAAAATAAAAATAGTATTGTTTGATTCTGTAGAACATGAATGAAATTTGCATTAAATCCACATTAAATTGGATAAATAGAAAAAATACGCAATTTCATAAATATCCGAACCCTATTTACATACTTAATAGTTTTAGATAGTATTTACTGTCTTCAGTATGGATTTTATCATATACCCGTATTTATTTTATAATTCATTATTTATATTTTTTCCGCTTGATAATTTAAAAATGTATTTTTTATTTTGAATAAACCTTTCGTATCTAAATAGGTTTTCATGCGAACATGAATGATAAATTATTTTCGTAATATTAAAAATCCATGTTAAATATTTATTTATTCAAATAGTTATCTAATGATTTCTTCGTATAACTATTAATTACTTACTAAAAAAATTTATTAAGTTAAAATTTATTTTAAATGTTTTATGTGTACAAATGAATGCATTATTTTTTTAGTCTGTATAATCTATTATCAAAACCGTATTATGTTTTATGTACTGACTAATTAAATAATAGCCAATACGTTAATATTAACTACAAAATAACTAATATTAACTTTACCTACTTAGTTAATTTAATCTATTCATACCTATTATTTATTATTTTGTAAAGTAAACTAAATGTGATTTTGTCTAACTGTATAAATTAGACTTCTACCATTTGTATTGTTTTATCAAAATATAATACTTATTTATTTCCGTATAACTAATAATGTTATACACTATTCATCATTATTCGGTAATAATATTTGTCAATTCTGTATGTTTTTCTGATGTTATTGATTGTTTACAGCAATATTAACCAATTGTAATCTCTACTTAACTATATAATTGTAACCGTTCCGCGTTTCCATTCGTTTGAATGGATAAATAGGGTTAAGGTGTCTATATTAAATACTTCCATTTGTTAGCGGCATATCCTTTTTTATTTAATTTCCCTCGACTCTTCTCTTCTTCTACTTTTATTCAGTACGCAAGCGTGCACAAACTCGCATAGACACCAAAGAGAAGAACGCTCAGGAATGTGTCGTGTCGTCTAGTGCGATCACAGTGTCCGAATTGAGGCCAATCGAAAAAAAATAATGGCTGTTTCTTTCTTCCGTTAATTCTATGTTGTATTTCTTTTGTTGTATATATGTTTCCGAATTAATGAAAAGCAATACTTGATATAATAATAATAATAATAATAATAATCAGAGCTTTATATTATAAATCCTGTTTTGATTGCATTTTCATATTATTTTTTAAGCTTCAAAAAAAAAAATGAAAAAATTTACTGTAATTATTGTTATCCTACTTTTTCAGAAATAATGTTAATTAATATTTGAATTACACAATGTCATATATATTTTGTTCTATAAAACTTATTCTAAATTTAAACTTATAACTTATTCATTTTATTAAATTAGGTATTTAGTATGTTGAATATGGTACGACTAAATTGTATTTGAGGTTACTTTATTGTAATTTTTAACGAAAGTTTTTATGTGTGGCTAATTTTATTAATTGTAACAATCATTAAGTTGTTTGTTAAAAAAAAATCACAAAATAAATCGCAAACAATAAAATGTTATCTTAAACCTCAAAACCGTGTGAATGAACATTAAATTGTACTATATTTGTGCGATTTCGATTGCAATTTTTTTCTGTAAATGATCGTTAGTAATAACACTTAAAATTAATAATAAGTTGGCACGAAACCATTTTAAGTTAGATTTATAGTGAACCAGGATCATATTTTGAAAATCAAAGAATCCTTAAACATACCGCACTATAGAATCAATTAACTTATAATTATTTCTTAGTGGGGATTTACCTAGAAATTCCATCATGCTTTGATTGCAATTTATTATAATTGAATATGTACCTGTATGAATTCATATATTAACTTATAGAAGCTTTCACGTTGGAACAGTGACAAATATATGACTAACCGATTTCAAAATTGTATTAAAAAAAAAACTTCTGGTGTACCTATTAAAAGAGTTTTGTGGGTAAATAATCGAGTAAATAGTTATAAAAGAAAAACTTATGAAAATTATTTTTTTAATTGTCAAATGTATATATTACGGTTATTGTTTCTTTTAAAAATATAAAAATTCATGAAAACTCTAAAGCATATATATTTGACTTATTAATAATTTACTTTAGTACCGTGTGATCTTTCATGTTTTCGAATATTATATATTATAATAATTTGAATATTGTTATTTAGTCATCAGATTTATAATTTATTGTATCAATTATTAAAAAGAATTTCTTTGAATTTGCTGTATTTTTCCAATTACATGTTGTAGTTTTTAAATAATTAATTTAAATTAAAAAAAAAAAATTCTTTTGTGAATTATTTTATGTTTTCGTTTTAATATTAGAAATTTATACTCATAATTTTTCAATTTTTCTAAATTATGAAAATACAAAATAAAAAAACTTCAATTTAATTGAATCTAATATATTTCATGAATCTCATAAAAACAATTATTTCATTCGATATAATCTTGTAAATAGTACAATTGTATTATATTTTATAATATTTTACTTATGAAGAAATAAATTAAAGTTTCAAGTAAATTAATAGTGATGTTTAATATATAATTTATATCTAGATAAAATATTTAAAGAACGTTTCATATCCTGTTATTTCATACTATTCATAGTTGCTCTTTATGTATATTAGCGAGAAATCCACGAAAAATTTGTGTTGTTGTGGTAAGATGGTTGAACTTCAATTTTCTGTGGGCTTGCGGTTCAAATACGATGTCCATTATTTCAAGTAATCGGTTGTTTTCTAGACATGCACCGATTATTGTCAAATATAGCATTAGAAAGCGCAAATACATGTGTTTTAAATAATGTGAATAATAAATTCAACTTTTAATTTAGTGAATTTTAAATTTAAATAATGTTTTTGTCAACAAATAAAGGTGGAAGGGACAGGGGGCATAAGAGGTATAGATCCATAGTGTTTAGTTCACGCATAGCTTGAAATAAAAACTAAAATATCAAAATACAAAAAATCCACGAAAATCTTAAAGCTCAAGATTTTATTATTACTATAATATTCTAATTTTGAACTAAATACTATACAACACAACAAATATATTAATTATTTCATAGACTATACAAGTTTAATATTATTTTAAGTACATAAAATAATATATTTTTATGTATTCTTATTAAAATTTTATCTATATTATTTTTGAAATATTGTAATGCATTTAAAAGCTTAAACACGTATTTTTTAATAATTTTAAATTGCAGACTTTATTAATTGACGTACTGAAATAAAATGTATTCGTCGTATATAATAATACATTTGAATAGTTTTTATTTCAATAAATTGCATTGTTAAAAATGCAATATTTATTCAGATCTAACAAGCAATATTCGTCAGTAAGAAAAAATAACCTTGGAGAAATAATCTTAGTGTTAGAAACCATTTGCACCTGACCTACCGAAATACTGTAATTTTAATTTATAATATTTTAATATTATACCTATCAGAAAAAGCAAATAATGATCAAATTATTTGAGTACAATATTACGAGTAAAAACATTAAAATTATAAAATAGTTTTTAAAAAGACAAATTATGGTACAAATCAATATTTTTTTATTTTTTTTTTTATTAGAAGCAAAGCTTCAAAATTACAGGTCATTAGCCCGGTATAAATTATTACAATATTAGAAATAGTAGAAAACAAAGGTAAAATTACAAAAATTATTTGCACTTAAAACTATGGAAAAAGTTTTGTACATTATTAACATTTGCTTATAAGATTAATTTTGGTTAGAAATGAAATAATTTTGAGTATAATAAAATCATTATTGTTTGTTTTAAAATATTATTATAAGATTGTTTTAAATTGTATTATATTTAAATGTTTATTTAATTTGAGTTATTTAAAAACTACGTTGTAATGCAGAAGAACTCACTTTCTTGTTAGTTATTTCAATATATACCTAATAGAAACCAGAAAGTCTAAATAACCGGTCTCATACGACGGATAATATTTATATATTTTTTTAGTAAACACTCTACGTATAATATTATATTATATCTAGTATTTAATTTGCACACGGATGAGCTTCCTATTATTTTTAATCTAATTATGTTAATTAGAGTGAGTAATCAGAACTATATATTCAATAATATTTAGTTTACCTAGTTCATAGTATTTCAAAACTAGATTTAAGAGAACTAAAACTATCGGATTATTACCAATAACCATTAGCAGGAAATTTAATATTTTTTATGTAAACAATTTTGAAGAACAATTCAAACGTATTTTACGATTTTAAAATTCTAAAAACGCTTATAACTTTCGTTGTTAAATAATTTACTGCCTTATTAGATCATATTAAAATTTAATAAATATTATTGTCTGAAACGTAATATTTATTTTGAGTATCATACGATGGGTATTTTTAATGATTATAATATTTTTTCTGGTACGTATTTACTAAAAAAAAATTGCCTATACAAGCATTTAAATTTCGAAACAAAAAAAAAATCTATATTGTATAAAATTTTGCATAATATAATAATCGCTTGACCCTTGATTCTTTATAAGGGGACGGAATTTTGAAACAATGAATAATATATGTATCTCGGTCATGTCCCACATAACCCAAGTCAATGATGAGGGGGCCAAATGCCTGCAGGATGGAAAGTATAAACACGTGTATATTACAGAAAACCGGTCGTTTAGTCATTTAGAAAGAATATAATAATGTTTGAATTTGAATATATCTCTTTAAATATATGGGCGTGATTGATACCAACAAATAATTTTTTAGAAATAAAAAATTATCAACAACTTTTTTTGTACAGAAACAATTAAACCGAATAAGATCGGATCATCAAAGGAATCACTGCCGGCGTTTTACTACTTTACAAGATACAGATACAGATTCTCTGTCTTCTATCGACCCATATAGACTGCTAGATGATGACCTCAGAGATGTATACACCGACATCAGACAGGTTTGTGTTTTTATGCTTGTATTGTTTACTTTTGTTTTCACCTAAGTATCCTAAGCTATATATTTATAATATTCGTACATTTTCTACCCTTAAAACTGATTTCGTATTAACGTCTGAACTTTTTTTTTTACTTTAACACAAAATAAATTGTTATTTTATCATAAGTACTCATATGCATATATAACTTAAGTGTACATTCAAGCAATAAATGATTATATTAGATTGATTCGTTTATTGCTTAGTTTTGAATAATTCTTATTATTATTTTTTGCAAACCAAATACAATTTACACAATTTGTATAAAAATAATTTGAGACAAAGTATAACTCGTACATTTTTATTCAATAAACATTTATTTTAAAGGTTGAGCGAATCTCTATGATTAGATGTTAATAGAAACTTTCACCGCGTATAATATATTATTTTTAAATAGCGTCTGTAATTTTACCATTTACAATTGCTCACATTTCATGTTCAATTAGTATAATAGAATCAATTCTATATTTTATGCACATACATTATAGTATTCTCTACGTATATAATTCGATACAGAGGTACTTCTTCACATTGAGTATTCTACGTACTTTATACATTATAACTATTTATGAATAGTATAATGTTGATACAAGATAATACTTAAATGTAATAAGCTAATAACGATAGCTAAATATTAATGTATTTTTATATTTTAAAACATCAAAGAATTTAATAAATATACATTATTTTAATTTTTAATTTTCTATCAAGAAATATTTACAAACTGAAATAGAATATATGATGAGTAAAAAAAGCTGTACTAGGCTAGACAGCATGATATAATGGGATATTCAGTATCACTACTTCAAGAATGATATTTAGGGGGATATAAATTAGTTAATAAATCTTTTCCTAGTTTAAAAACTTTTAAACAAAATTTTTTATTTGAAAATAATTTTTTTGATTTTATATTTAGGAACTCGAACTGAACACTAATCAAGATGAGCTACGAACGATAGCTACATATTACTTTGATGGGCAAGGAAAAGCCCTCAGGCCAATGGTGGCTATCCTTATGGCGCATGCCATAAATTACCATATGAATAATAAGTAAGTATATAGCTTATTTTTAATTTATGATTTTAGAAATTATATTTGCTAAGCTCTAGAAATTTTCTCTTATTAAAGGTTAACATAAATTGTGTTTACAAAAAAAATTTATTAAATTTATTAAAATAATAAAATGTGTACAAAAATTAGATCAAAGCATATAATATGTGCTATATTATATACGGATAGGGATATAACTAAAACGGGTTGAAATGCTCCTACGCAGGAAGACGTCAAGGATATCGAAACTGGTTATAACTCATGTAACCTAGATGTTTTACTTACATTTAGGTCTAGGTTTTATATACACATATTTCAATAACAATATCTATCTACATTACTTAAAGTAATTACCATTATTTTATTTTATAAAATAATTTTTAAAAAAATAAGTATTTAATTTTTTAAGAATATACAATAATGAAAAATAATATGGAGTGTTAAAGTAATAATAATGTCTTATAGGATTTTTTAGTAACCAGTTATTTAAAATGTACAGCTTTTCTTTTTTTTTTTTTTGTTTTTAAAAATTTTCCTCATATATTACATATAAATTTGATTAAAAGTAGAGTAGTCTTTCGGTTTCCCACAACACTATAGATAATACAATTTTCAATAAATTAAAAAGTTATTCCTTCCAATTCAGTAATTTAAACTATATTATTTCAGTGGTTTGGACAAAAAACAAAGAGAAGTAGCCATGATTGCGGAAATGATACATTCTGCTTCCTTAATTCATGACGATGTTATTGATCAATCCGACTTTCGTCGAGGAAAGCCTAGTGTAAATGCACTTTGGAGTCACAAAAAAATACGTCATTTAATTAAATATATTTGTTTAACTAAATACTATATATTTTTGTATGACATAAAATTAAAGAAATTATATTGAAATATAGAGTTATGTAATACAAATAAATTAAAAGGAAATTAAATTTAGAATATTATTTTTAATTTCTTACTTACCGGTTTTGAATAATTTCGGAAAATTAAAAATGGAAGTGCTACTTATCAAATAGCTGTTGATGATCATTTCACTACAACAGTTTCTCAAAATTGTAATTTAAACAAAAATATTCATTACATATTGTATTTCTATAACTTATTATTTAAGCAACATAAATTTTCGTATATAATCGTGTAGGTATTTACATATACATATTTTTTATGCTAAATATATTTCTTAATATTTTAAAGATAATTCTATATCATTAATTCTTTTATTTTATGTATACATAATACATTTATATTTTAGCCTTCGGTTTGAGATTAAACTTCATCATTTTTTTTAGCTAATAAATAATTATTAATTATATATTGTATAATAATAAATTAGACTGAATTGAATGTGACTCATGTATATATGTTTAATGTTAAATTTGAAAGCAAGAACCTTTCCTGTCCAGTAAAAATCATTAGACCTTGATCATAGCCTTAAGGCATATAATTACCTTATGGCTGGATCCAGTGGTTTAATTGGTACCAATGAAACACTTCTTCATTTTATTATAAATTATTAATACGTAATCATTATCCTCCTAAAATTCAGCTGCCTTTCAATAACAGTAATTTCAACCATTTTTACCATTCAAAAATTATTCTCAATAATGTATTAAATGATAAATATCTCAAATCATATATTCAGTATATAATTTTATTTAACTTATCGAAAGTAACTGTAAGTACCAAATTTAGTTTTTAAAAAGTCTACAATATAATAATTATATTCAATTATTGAAATATCTGTTACTTTTATTCTTCAATATTAAATAAAATAAATTAGGTAGAGTAAAAAGTAACGCACAACTTACAAAGACATACTTTCAAGATTCAACCTACTAAAATGATTCAATTGTTTAATCTAATATTTTACAAGTGGAAAATAGCGTGACCTTGGCCCTATACCCGTTACGAGTACATTTTCTCTGCATTAATTACAAAAACTAAATCGCATATTATGTATGAACTAAGTATTTTGAAAATCTTTTGAAATACAATAATTTTTGTCTACATATTATATTCTATTGGCTCTAAAGAAGATGTTGCTTATTAACATACTATTACATTAGACAATTCTGTGGCAGACTAATCGTATAGAATAATTTATCTTTGTTAACTAATGTTAAATATGTATGAATGTTTTAAATGTATGTAACTTAACGTTACAACTAGAGAAAAAAATAGTAACTTAAATAATCTGAAACTGTAATCCTGTCATAAATTTAAAAACCGTTTTTTGTTTTTATAAATTATTAAATATAAAAAACGTTAAATATTATATGTTTTTAACAGTAATTAGCTGTTTAATATACCAGCACCACAAACATTTAGACTTTAACATATCTGTTACGCTTAAGCAAAATAACTATAATGCTAATTAAATCCAGGCTAAATTAAAAATTTAGTTTCACGCGAGTTGCTTTACGTGTGATGGTTTCGTTTGGTGTATTTATATATTCGTTTTAAATATCCACGTGTATGACTAATTGAGCTAAATACACGTTATTATGGTGGATAAAATGACGCATATTGGTCGCAAAAAAAACGAAAATCTGCACAGGTCGCTGGGTCCACGTATTATGATTGTGTTTTGTAGTTCGTTTGTGTGTATGTGTGTATGCTCGGTACATTACATTAATAATAATTGTAAAAATGTAGAGTGATAATTAAATATGGTACGGCGACGGCACCGGTGTCCAGCCGCCCGGCAAAGACCAATACGGTCGGTCGATGAATGAAGAAGGTTTGGCATCGTGGGTTTACTTTCACTACGGATGGAGACCCACTTAATACTTGCGTTCGTCGAGCTACGACCGCGACGTCGGAGATGGCTGGTTGGCATACCGCCGCACACGCGGGTATCGATTAATTTCACTTGGAGAACTCAAACACAGTTCTCTCGAAAGCGGTCTTTTATAAGAAAGTTGTACACACATTGCTGGATTGTGTGTATTTTGCTGGTTTTTTTTTTCGTTCATTATATTCGTATCGTCGTATCGTTTCGTACCATAAAAGACTGCTGCTCATCCAATCTCTATGGCGCATGATAAAAAAAAATAAAAAATACAAATGATAAAAACGAAAATGTCAACTAGACTAGTCGGACTCACTATAGCCCCGATGCCGCGATGGTGACGGCGGCTGCTACTTCGTCGATAAAGGGCAAGGTCGACTACCGACACGCAGTAGTAGCAACAACAGTCACTGCGATGTTGGCGTGAATGTAGGTAAATGGTACGTCGCCGCCGTTGCAGTCACAGCTATTGCGTTGCATCATCCAAATATACTCGAAACCATACCTGAACATTCCTCCTATAAATCAAAGAATATTTTTCATTTCATTATTCACCTCTGTGGTTTCAAGAGGTGAAAAATCTTTCTTCTTAATTTCTTTCTCTCTTCTCTCTCTCTCTCTCTCTCTCTCTCTCTCTCTCTTCTTTCTCTATCTTACATCACATCCTTTTCCACGCTTAAAAATTTGATAATATCGTAAAACCGTGTATTATTATTATTCCTAGCCCTACAGTGTATATTTATGCCTGTATATATGAATCGATGATGGTGGCAACATATAGAGAAAGTTCAATGTGTAGACAATTTGTATATTTAGGAGTGTACATCCTGTGTGTTTCACAATTAGACACTTGTTCCGGAAGGCCTTTCACGCAATGTGTAAACAACAAATTTGTTTTTTTATTCATTAATAAATAATACTTTGACGTATCCACTGTCTTCCAAATGTAGAGAGTGTATTTGGTCTTAGACATTATTTGAGATAAAATTCCTAAGAATCAAAAAGACAGATATCCAGTTTCCGGATAAATTATAGTTCAACGAGAACAGGGCTAATGATAGCACAAAAAAAATGGTGAGAGCGAAATATGAATGACCGTTTCAATAATTTACTAGTTCACCGAAAAATACTAATCAACGATTTGACAATAAATATCGCTATTAAGCATTTAATATGTCAATTTATTTGAAGTTTTACAGTTTATACAGTTTTAAATAATTTTTTAATTTGAATACCTTTAAATATTCTTACCAAATTAATGAATTTCAGGACCAATATCTTGGCTGAATAATTACGTTAACCCATTTACACGTTGTATTACGTGGAACCAGTTACCGAAATGCTTCATTGGTTGAAACGAATTGATGTCGGCATTCCATCAAATTGTATTTAATTTTTTAAAACGCACTTGTTAGTTTTGTTATAAAGTAAATGCTCATAGCATCAGTTATCTTTATTCAAGTTTGAAGTAAAATTAAATTGCATTTTATTTTTCATATATTTTTAAGTTATTTGTAATAATGTACAATTTTAAGGAACTAAAAACGAAATATATATAATATGATTACATAGTATTTTGCCATTTATTTTATTTGTATTGATGATAATATACTGAATTCATTAACATGAATGTGAATGTGTTATAGCTTATTAATAGAAATCACAAAGTATTGGCACTTTTTTCTAACATATACAACTTTGATTGTTTACAATCATAACATATTAAGATTTAATTAAATTAAAGAATCAAATTTGTAAACTTTTCATGAATATTGCTAAGTAAAATCTCTGCAGATGACATTATTTAAAATGCATTCAAATTACAAATCATGATAGCCGAATAATTAATTCAAAATAAATAAAAAGTAATTAGTGGTAATACCGGGTAATGTTCAGTTATATACATTTTTTAACTTTATTGATAAATCAAATTTCCAATTCTCCTAAAAAAATCGCTAAAAAACTTCAAAATTACTATTTATAATTCGTTATCATTGTCCATAACCCTTAACTTTTAACTAATTATAAGTATTTTTAATTATATTTGTGATAATATCAGAATAAATTTATTTAAAACATTAATAAGTGAATATGAAATAATATATAATAATGTACTATAGTCGTTATTTATAGTATTTGAAAAAATATTACAATAAAAAAAAAGGTTTCACTTAACAATTATTGACACATCTATAGCTAAGTTTAATGAACGTATCAAATATTTTACTTCTATATATCATTATTCGTGTATAGATATATTATGCAATGTAATGCATTTGTATTATTTGCGATGAGATAAGTTAATAAGTTTTCTCTAAGTACATTGTTGATATAAAAATTTAAATTGAAAAATGTATCAACCATTTTACTATTCAATTATAATAGTTCTTAATTCATTCTATCATTAATTTCTATTTATTTAAATTGACAACTGGATTTTTGACATAGTCATTGAACATAATAAACAACAAAATATACAATGAGTAAACATCGTTTCGTCTTTAAATATTTAGACATTGTTTAAAAAGTAAATTTCTGTATATTTACATAATAACTTACAAGTATTTTACTTTTTTTTTTTTATATTTGCATCGGATCGTTTAACATATATTATATGGAATTTCTGTAATGGGATCTTATATTCAAGTTATTGTGATTTTCTAACAATGTTATTTCATAATAATGCCAGTTCGAAAAATAATATGAAAGATTTTTTTTTCACATCAACCAAACAAATATTTAATTTAAAATAACTTTCTATTGTTTTTTTTTTTGTTTTTAATTTTTTACTTAAATTATAATACTGTAATTATTTATTTAGATACGTCATTGGTAAATTGGCGTAATTGTAACATGCCACGATGTTATAAATGAATATTTACACAATCATAAATTATACTTAATTTATATAGTTTTCCAACTAATATGTGCCAATTTATATGTACTTATACTAATGTAATACTAATAATATTTATAAATATTTAGTCGTTATTATTTCATTCATGTACAAATATACG